ATATATATATATATATAAAGATTATAAATCTATATGCAAGAAGAATAGTTATTAAAACGCATTATGTCGAACAAGCGTAGATCTAATGTGGTAGGCCATCTCTCTGCAATCTTGCTAAAAAATAAAGAAAGAACTACTTAAACGCGAAAACGAAATGGCGCAGCGTCCCTGGTCCTCGATCTTGAGTCCGACAAGGGAGGAAACAGAAAAACAAAGAAAACGAGTGAAACGAAAAGATGACCGAAGTGTCTCTTGGCTCTCTTACGATCCATCGAAAACAGATCTGTGCCACGAAGTGACTGTGAACAAAAGGAAAACGAAAGAGAGAAAGAGTAAAGAGAAAAGGCACTGGAAGCGAGTCGTTCTCTCGCTGCCGTTCGACATTATTATCGATCCTCTACGTCGCGAGACATACAGGGGGAGGAAAATCTCGAATGAAATCGAGTCAGACGGTGTGCAATGTATGTATAAGAACTTCTTAAATTGCTCGTGCATATAAATTCTTGTAATTTCGAAACGAGTCCAGTCGCTGTCCTAATAATCTCGCCGGCTCGTAATGAAAACGACGAGATCGTTAAAGGAACAAAAAAAAAAATAGAAAGAAGAAGAAAAATGCCGCGACATTTTCCTCCTGTGATATTTGAACTTTGCGATTCGTTTTTTTCCAAATTTCTAGTCCCCCACAACTTATTCGCCGAGCTACAGCAATCGCGTTACTCTACGATACTCTTGTGAACGTTCGAATGGAAACACGTTAATCGAAACGGCCAAATACTTAATTATGATATTAATTGTAATATAACGATTACTCGGTCGTGCTGATCGATCGCTTTCTCGTCTGCTGTACCGACAGTTTCAAATTCTGAGAGAACTCTGGGGCTAAGAAGGAATCGACTTAACAGAGGACACAGTCAGTTTGTCCATGAGACCGTCAATCCCTCCATTAATTACTAAAAATGGACAAGTCTTGTAACGTAAGATTCATCCGATCGATCGATTCTTCGGTAACATTTGATTAATTCGAATCGGAATTAAACTCTCACACTGTAAGCATAATGCATTAAACTTCACGAAGGAATTATTGGTGTTGTACTGTATAATATAGTAACTCCATAATATAAAACAGGTTTAGTGTGAAAATTTTCATCTCTATTCGAGAAGTAATAGATAAAATATGTTTACCATTACGGACCCAGTTCCTGATCAAAGCCCAATTCCTGATCGGACACCTTACTTCATTATTGTGTTTCCATATTATGTAAATGTAGAAGACAGCGATCGATCGGTGTCGATCGAAAGAAGATGTAAGAATGATAATCGAGGTAGCATCCTTCAAACTAAAATCACACAACATCTTTCATTCCCTCCTCTCGTGTTCCGACCGAAGCGCAAGATCACCCCTTCCGTCTTATCTTCACGACACCCCATCAAGCAATTCTCATTTCCGTACTCTCCCTCCCCTCCTGTCCCGTCCCCGTCCACTCATCATTTCTTCTCTCCACACCCGCATACCGCTGCTGCATAATACTTTGTAACCTT